TGGAGCTGGAGCAGCAGTAGAAAGCAGTAAGATGTAGTGGAGGGCTAAAAACAATTAGAACAATTCTGAACTGGGTATTGAAATAAATCAAAAGATAGTGAAATTCTAGGAGGTTCAAGTAGAGAAAAAACTGAAACTGACCAGCAGCGGCTGAATCAGGAGACCTGGGGCAGAGCAGCTGGAGTGCTGCCGGGTTGGTCCAGTAGCACCAAGGAGCAGAGCTGCAGGACCAACTGGCAGCGCCCCAGCTGCTCTGCCCCAGGCGTCCGCGAGAAAAGCCTGGTCTGCCGTCCCGAAGTCAGCCACTGGTCAGTCTCAGCAGCGGCTGACTTGGGGACGTCTGGGGCAGAGCAGCTGGGGTGCTGCTGGGTTGCTCCAGTAGCGCCGCTCCTCGGTCTGGGCTGTCCCGCTGCCCGCGTGCTCCGCGGCTTTGCTCAGCATCTCCCAGCAGACCAGGGAGACGCGGAGCAGCTTTTCTCGCCCCGGAGGATGCGGGCGGTGGGACCGCGGTGCGTCTGGGCAGTCCTGCCGCCCGCGTCCTCCGGGGCGAAAAAGGCCCCGTTCATAAGTACGGATCCGACTTAAGTCGGATCCGTGTAACCCGGGGACTGCCTGTATATATGTATGTATTGTTTCATATTTAAATAGTATTTTTAAAAGCCCTTACACTGGCAACTAATAAATCTTATACCAACAGAATATTGTTCAAATACATTGGAAAAAACCTACAGGATATAGATTGAGTGGAATTTTTTTCCAGTAAAAAATTAAATCAAGCTGTACAATTTTCTGTTAATTACTCCATTTGCATGTAGTGATTTATTATTCATTAAATAAGGTTTTAATTTTAATTTGGGAGTAACTGTAATCTGCTCACATCATATGGCCTCAAACATTCATTTCATTGATATTTTTTATTTAAAAAGTTCCATGCACCATAACTGGCATCTTGTGCCTTTTCCTTTTCTTGTCAAAGAGTAGATGGAGCCTTCCATCTATATAATGAATAACATAATTTCAGAGGAAATGAAGGCTTAATTGTATCTCTATATGCCTATATCGCCACACTTTTCAGTTGCCTTTGTGATTTTTGGTTTAAATTATCACTTTTAACATTGAATTAGCATTGATTTTTGCATTATATTTCCTTGTATTTTTCTTGAGATAGAATCACCAATAATTTTTTCATTTGTTTATCATACATTCATATACACATGTTGTACCTGTGTGTTTATTTGAGCTATATTGTGATTCACTCTAAAAAATGTTCAGGAGCCTTGAAGAGCGTGTGCACTCACCTGATGTATTGGAACTAAATGAGGAGGATTGGAAGGAGGGGATCTAGGAGTTTTTGGCATCTGGGTGAGGTGGATTTGTTAATGAAAATTGGGCCATGAGAGGATAAGATCCAGAAGAGATGCCAGTAGTGGGGAAAGCATTTTTGTACATGTAATTCGCTGGAAGCTTGGTGAATTGAAGTCAGGGAAGAATTTAGCAGTTGGGAGGGTTCCCACTGAAGCAAGGATACACAAAGAGTTTAATCTCTGGAACAGCCATAGGCTTGCTACCAAGATGGATAAACTGACTATTGGGATTGGGATTCTGCTTGAGTGGGAGATTGGTTGCACAGAAGAAAAACTTTCGAATGGTGAAGACTATAAGGAACTCACCAAGGATCAAAAAAGCTAAGCAAATGCATAGCACTGTTGGCAAATGAAATTCATTGTTGGCAGATGGAAGAAATAATTTAAGTGCCTCATACACATTTTTGTGTTTTAAATTTAGGAAACAATGATAGTTTTTTGACAACTTAATGAAAACCCTACTCAATCAAAAACAAATAAAATACTAGGACCCACAGAGAATAGGACAGAAAGAAATATTCAAAATGTTATAGTTTCCTATATATCAATGATTTGTCTGTACCTGGAATACTGACTTCTGTTCTAGTTGCCCTATCTAAAAAAAAAAATTAATTGCATAGAGCTTGGTACTGAAAACTATTTGAAAGTCTAGAACAATATTCATGTGTGGAACAAATGAAAAGGTTAGGACTGTTTAGAGAGGAGATAAATGAGAGGAAACATGATGCAAATTATGGTCCCTCCTTGGACTCAAGACCAAATTAGAGTCAGTGACTTCGTGAATGTATCACCTACTTCTCTGCTATCTCCAAGTTGGAAGACATGCGACTACAGCGATGGAGTTACTCACTAACCCCATGATGATGTGTGAGAAACATCATTTCACCCCTGGAATTAATCCATATACAGCTTTCAAATGCACAGTCCAGTAACCTGATTGTGTGGGATTTGGCCCATAGGAAGTCAATCAAAAAAGCTGCTGCTAATGACTTTGTAACAAGAATTGTTCAGGCTCTGTCTTAAAGAGCTATTCATATAAACAGTACAGTATTCGATATCTTGTTTGTTAAAGTATACATTAATGAATCTGTG